CGTTTACAATGTCTTCATAACATGTATAGCCGGTGCCGCTATTTCGTTGGTGCTCTCCGATCGCAAGGATTTAGTTTTTGTCTTACTCTCATTTTTTATAATTTTTTGTACGACAGCAACATTATGTTTGGTGTTCGTACCGAAAGTAAGACTGGTAGTAAGGAAGTTTTGTAGTTTTTGTAGCTGTATTTTTAAATTAAATTTAAGATTTACTGTTATCGTAATTATGGACAAAATTTAATGAGCTATTGGCATATTTAAATATGTGTTTGATGAGCGTCTAACCATGTAGCACCTAAATTTTCCAACTTTTAATTTTCCAGTGAACCTTAAAACACTAAAAAAATATATCTATAAAAAATGTTAAATAGTTTTTTTCGAATGAAATATTTTGATTAGATGCTCTTTAACTGTGCTATACACTACATTGAAGACAATGACAGTTTCTAACAAACGAAGTCAAGTCTGTTAATGAAAAAAATATGTTCTTTTTATATAAAAAAATTTAAATCCGTTAAATAATAAAGTAAAAATTTTAACTTACTAACCGGATTCGGGCTTTTACACCAATTTTTTACAAAATTCTTTGATAATATTCTAAAAATTTGACAATGGTGTAAATATAGATATAATAAATAAGTAGGATAAATATAGAATATTTGGTGTATACATATCACGTTTGTCCAAAATCCTTTACGATTATACTTATGTGTCAATTTGAGTTCATATTTGCTTTACATTTATTTCTAATTTAGCTTACTCGTAATTCTATCGCTTTCACACTTTTGCATTGGTGATTATTATTTGCTTAGTTACAACAATTTCAAAACTTTCAACTTTATATACTAGAAATTCACCTGTTATGTATATCTATCTAATATCAACGATAAAATGTGTAATACTTAAAAGTGTTTTGTTTTTTTCTGCTTGACTTAAAGCTGGTCGAACTGAAACGCAACCCACAAGGTGTTGTTGATAAGCGCGTACGCGCCACCTTGCGTCCAATGTCGAAAAATCGACGCGATTCATCCGTCTGTGAATTGGAGCAACGTCTACGTGATGTGAAAAACACGAATTGTCGATTCCGCAAAGTTCTTATGGAGAAAGAAAACGAACTGCAAGCTCTTATAAGAAAACTTGGACCTGAAGCTCGCAAGTGGATTGATGGCGTCACATGTACTGGTGGTATTGGCGGGGACTCGGAACCAATACTCAGTGATACAGCTAGATTGTCTGCACCGCCAGTACGACGGGAAATGCCCAGCACAACAGGTGTTTAATGAAATTAGCCTAGTTTAAAGACTTAAAAACTTAAACTTTGAAAAATTCTTAGTAACTGCATTTAATTAAAAAAAAACTTAAGTTCTCATTCGAATTTTAACCACTTTTATTTTTATTTTTGTAGAAGTAACGGAACTTACTTCAGTTGACAGCGTAACATCTACACATGTAGATATGGATAGCTCCATGGTTTCGGTACAGTCAACGACAATCGCTCCATCCTTGCCACCGTAGGTTTTTTGTTTTCTTAAACACCCATACAACTATACCGTTAATTTGAAATATGTGACTTGAATCAACTTTTTAGTAAAAAGAAGTCCATGAAGTCTTTAACACAAATCCAAGATGGCGTGGTCCAATCCACCGGCTTAGTTACTGGATCGAATTCGCACCATAAACAAACTCAAATGCAATCAATGCAACCCATACAACAACAATTACAGCAGCAACTACAACAACAACAACCACCATTACAAGCTGTAAAGCATGATGATCTCACTTACCGGAGACCGGGGGAGAAACGAAACTCAGTTTCAGCTCAAACCGATCCCATACCGGGTATGAAAAAGCAAGAATGCAACAATATCAAAAGAAGCGAAGATTCACAACTGCGGGAGCGTCGGCAATCAGTGGCGTCCAGGGTAAGGAAATATTAGAGTTGAAGATGCAGAGTCTTAGAAAGTTTTTTATGCTTTCAATCAATAAATTATATCAAATTTCTTTATTCTAGCATTATGACAGTGGAAGTCAGACTCCTACCGCCTATCCAAAGACCGCACATAATCATAGAAATTCCGCTACAAATATTTCTAATTCCAATAATGATCTAAACGGTTCTTGCCCACATGCTCCATATACGAAAAGCAATAACGTCATAAAGAGTGAGTAAAATAACGATTTCCTGATTGTTTAGTATTTTGAGCTGAGTCTCTTTTGAAGCACCCACAACATCGGACAGCCGTCGTGGAACCAATGCCATGAAGTCTAATTTTGTGGTCTCCCAAAGCGACCTATGGGACACCCATACACTTTCGCATGCCAAACAACATTCACGCCAGTCACCGCGCAACTATGCCAGTCCACAACGTTGTTCGGAACACAGTCATATCATTCCATATAACCAGTCGACGTCACCCATACAACGTTCAGTGTCAGAAAAGAATCGTAATAAACATCGTCATAAACCGCAGAAGGGAACGGTATGCCAAAGCGAGACCGACAGCGAACGTGAACGTGAGCCAACACCGCCAGCTACGCAGTGCATTACACAGCGCAAACTCAACAAGATGAGTAGTATACAACATGCTGCACATCATCATTCCTCCCCAAATGTAGCACCAGATAAGCAACGTAAGCATCGAAATAAAATCGAATCGTCAATTTATGGTGCTAGTTCGGAGACAGAGTTACTAGATGGAGAAACAGCAATATTGCCCATATTCCGAAAATTGCTCACTGAAAAGAGCCCTAACTATCGTGGTCGAAATGTTGTGGGTCAAAGTTGTCCGAACATATCTATCAAATGCGATATTGTGGAGTATCTTTAGAACAAGAAGAAAGCCATTACACCGAAATTTCGTTTATTGTACATTGTATGTGTGAGCTCTGCAAGTTGATTTAAATGCAATTTAACTCGACCTATACCAGAGCAGAGAAATGTTAGACTAATAACTATGTTTTTAAAACTAAAGAATTCTTTGCATGGTATTACTCACATATAATATGAATTTAATTAAAAATGAATATAAATAAAAACGTATTCCAAATAAGAACAAATATTATGCTTAACTGTGATTATTTTTGTAGAAAACTGTCAGATACTGAACTTATTTCTTCTTCCTGTACGGATCAGTCTGAAATATTTGATAGGATTGTGGCTTACTTGTCTCCCTAAAACAGACCCATTTTTTGTAAGTACATCCTGAACAAAGTATATTAAGCAAATTATAATATATTAAGTTTAAGTTAAGTATATTAAGTTTGCCACGAAGCTTGTCGGATACTTTACAAAATATTTAGGTAAGGTTAATTTGGTTGGCCAATAAGCCACGCATATCAGGTGGAGTTTAGTTCCTAGGTCCAAGAGAAGTCAGTAGTCACGCTTCACGCGAATTTTAACACCGCTTCTCCGTCGGCCTATCTGTCTGTATAACTAGTTCTGCAGTTTTTGAGATATCGCCCTGAAATTTAGTACACCTCAAGAACCTGATTATTTCTCGGAACCACTTAACATATAGGTGTCATAACTGCATGATGAAGAATTTGGAACATTTTGAAGCGCCTGAAACGGTTCATATGTTTATGTAATTTTGGAAAAAATTACTATTTAGCTGGATACACCAGGTAAAGTGTGCTGGGTCCGGTGAATGCCTTGGGCAAGTTTGGAAGCGAAAAGAATGCACACGGGAAGAAATCTAGAGGTAGGATGATATATCGTGAATAACGGAACCGAAACAAAAATCATAAACATACTTAGAAACGGTTTCATTCTTTGATTAATTAAGCGATATTTTGGTTTTTGTAATTAGTGGAATTTTTGGTACAAAATAATAACGAACCTTTGTTTATTATAACAAATACTATTTTTATTAAAAACTTCATATTACATATATTGTATATATATTTATACATAACTACACATATTTCGGAATAAATTCAATTATTTTTAATTCAAAGTATTATAATTACGGTTTATTAAACTATATTTTTATCATATCACAGTTATCTATACGTCTATTATTATTTGTTTCTTTTGACAGTGGAAGTACATTGAACTTAAACTCTGCATTATATATATCTATGTTTTTAGCTTTACTGTACTCGAATATTTATATTATTGTAAATTAATTAAATATACTACATATTGACGTTTGCACCTTTTGTTCACAACATTCCGTAGTCTTGATTATATTATGTATTATATTTTGTGTCATTAGCATCAAAACAATTTGTTGTACATATGATTTCATATACATCTAGGAATGCAACATAGTGTATAATTGTGGATTAACGAAACAATTTAATCCAACATTTGATTTATTTTAAATTATTCCTAATTAATGCTACACACATTGGACATATAAAACTCTTATACTAACTAGCATATAAAGAACTATATTATATAATTTAATTTCTCATACATTTGCACCTGAAATTACGTTTCATGAAGTATCTATGTATATTATTTTATTTATAAAAATGAATGAATCGATATATGTGCATTATATAATTACATATATTATATATAATAGAATAATATTAATAATGATGTATTAAATAGAAGTATTGATAGATGAGGGTTGATCTCTATAACTTACTGCAAACCGAATTATTAATAGTAGGTCTAAAAATTAAATTGTGTATATTCATTAGTGAAACAAATTATTATAAATAAAATCGGAAGAGAAAATTTTGTAGGAACTAAAAATTTGGAAAGCCACACAATTTCGTCTAAATTTGTTTTTAATTGTAAAACGACTATGACCAACGTCAACCTAACGGTTACACAAATACATATCGTCACCTGAAATGTAAAATAACGTAACAACATTTTCGGAAATTTACAGTGGCATGAATGAAACACGAAATAAAATGGAACATAAGTGGAAAAAAATTTTAATATTGGTTAAAACTGATTTATATCTGACCGCAGAACCTCAAAATACTGAACATATGTAATATTAAAATTAAAATATAAATTGCTTGTTTATATATTTTTTTAAATAATTTTCATAGAAAACAAAGTTAAAAAAAAATCGATTTGTCATTAATTTTTAAATATATTTTAGCGTGCTGTGCGTGTACAGCTTTGTGATTGGTCCTCGTATGAAGTCTGATCAACAAGTACTGAATGGTGTATTGTGTACACGGGAGAGCAAAGAAACTCGCCTCGCTCGAGAGCTCAAGTAGCCGTAGCTGCTTTAAAATAGTAAGGTACTCGATAGAACTAAATTAAATTTATTTGGTTATGATTGCTAACGGAAGACTAACTATACTTCTTAACGTGTTTATTTTTTTTTTCATTAAATAACTAGGCCTTACGAATTTTAACACTTAAATAATACTACATGATATAATATAGGGTATTTAACTTGTGTTGCCGGATATATAAACCACTTAAATGGGTAGCAGTTTGAGTTAGAGCCATTCACCGTGGGAGGTCTGCTTATAAAAAATCTTTAATTTTTAATCTACATATTAAGTTTTTTAATACGTTTTACAAATATTTAGCGAATCTGTACTGATTCAAATATGTAAGTTAGCAATTAAATGCTAGTAACAAACAATTAATATTTTATTCATTACCTCGAAAATATTAACTATATAGTACATATGCAATTTGTGCTTTTAGTTGCGTAAAGCATGGTAAGTTCTAATTAATATAAACATTAATATTAGTAAATATGTATGCATGCAAATGATCGTATACAGTTTACCAAAAATTGTTGCATAGGTATCTTAGTTTGTAACATGTAACTCAGGACTTTCAATAGACGGACTCTTGTGATCGTTGACGGTAGAAAAATTGGCGCTGGTAATATCGTGTTTATTATTGAATGAATGTTCGAAATCAACACTCAGCGGATGAGAGCTTTCTGTACCAGAAATAGTTTTAATTAATGAACTTGATGTGAGTGACTCGAGTTCATGGGTTTCCGAGTTTATTAGTTCGCCGACAGCGGAACTTGACGGTGTTAATAACTGTTCGCTCGCAATTACTTGACTTTGTTTTCTGAATTAGAAAATAAAATACATACTATTTTTGTAAATATATGCATTGAAATATAATTTGAATATGTATTTTGAAAGTGTAAGTATGTTAATTTTTTAATTGCGTTAGGTCTTACCTTTCATAGTACTTATTGCCAGTAGTTGACGATCCTTTATTCATTAACGGATAACTGAATTGCATGAAACCGTATTGCGGACCAGCCGTTTTTAGCAGGCTCATAAGAAAAAATGTACCATATAACCAGCTGACAACCATTACAATAACCAAAAATAAACCAATCTGTATATATGGCAGTACGTTAGACGCCAGCATTAAAGCACCAGCAGCACCTGTAGTGATTGCTGCCATAGACGTTGGCCCCACAATCCGTGATAAGGTGAATTGGCTAGCGGCCAGACGCTCCTTTGTCGGCGACATGCGATAATGTATACCGTAGTGTAAGCTGAAATCGACTGCCAATCCGATGGCAGTGCTCACAGCTATACTTTCAAGCACATTTAATTTCCAACCGAGTAAAATTAGTATTGACACCGTCGTAAAAATTGTAAGTAAAACTGTAATCACCGCATATAAAGATACTAAAACATTTAAAGTAACTAAAAGTAAAACCAACAGCGAAGCACTCATAGCAACTGAAATCGCTACTAACGTATCGTGACTAAGTGTACTTTGGGTGTCAAAGAACTTAAGTTCACTGGTAAACCAACCGCCCTGCATTTCCGGCGGTGCCTCCCGCAACTCGTTGGCAAGCCACAGCTCCACTGATTGTACAAATTTTTTGACTTCCGTGTAGGCCGTTGTGTAGGCCACATTCGATTCGAACTCTAGCACCAAGGCTTTTACTTGTGGTGGTGCCAGCGTAACATGTTGTGATGTATTACTAATTGAAATTTCATTATGAGTTTGTAGTATTGAATTGCTTCGCCTGTCGGCCAAGAATCTCGGCCCGGCAACACCAGGAGTGTAGTACTCCCGCGGAGTAGCGTAAAGCGAGGACATACTTTGTGGCAAGCAAATATCGAAGACGTGTGGCTCGAAAGGAAACTTTGATACGTCGCAACAAGGTGTGCGATCCGTATTATCCATACCATCTATACACCTGGAAATAAATTACATTTTCACGTAAAATAAAATACACGATACATTAAGATATTTGTTTTTTAAAAATAAATGTCAGATTTATTATATTATTTAACTCACATGCGATCCATTAGGGATATAAAATTTTCAATGAAGCAATTCGGCAATAATAAACCAAAAGTAATTTCATAGAATGGCTGTTTTCTTATTTTTTTACAGAAATCTAGCAACCAAACTTGAGCAGCCTTTGTAGATATATTAAAACTATTGTCAAAATACAAGTTCCCATGGGAAAAAGGATCAGTGTAGTCGCCATCATCAACTGGTTGTATACCCCAAACGAAGCGCATTGGTAATTTAAAATTTTCATAAGCCTTAAAAAGATAAAGATTATATCGAAACGGAATATTTGTGGGTTTATTAAACATCGCTAGTATCGAATTATAATTCATTTTGAAGTACTTACCGACATCGATTTCTCAAACCAAAACTCATTTTTCATTTTACTATTATAGATTTCGAATGGATGGCTACTTGAAAATAGTTGAAAATGGTCGGTATCCGGCAACTGCAGCCCAGGCGCATACAATACAATAACTGTGCTGCATAATCCTATCGTACCTATGAAAATCAATTACAATTATTTTAACTATGCATCTTCTTAAACAATTTAATAATTTTTTTAAATATTAAATATTAAATAATATATCCATTTTTATATTTAGAAAGCTTTATATTACCAAATAAGCATATCCATATTATTGAATAATTCATCACAGCCTTCGTTATAGCTGTCTCATATAGATGACAGAACTTTGTAATTGACTTATTGCACATAAGCAAGAGCTTTTGTATTGGAAGTTTACTATTGCAACTTGCACAAGCAGATAAGCGTTCCATTATGCAGACGACAGCAGGCAGCCAAGTTATCATAAGGAAATAATTAGTTACAGCTACCGTTCCCGCAAATACACTATAAATTCATTAAAAAATAAATATTAATCAAGACAGTTTTGCAAATATAAAAATATATTAATAAAATATAAAGAATAAAGTCGCAAAATTGTATTGAAAACAAAAAAATGTATCTTACCCAAAGCATTTAATAGCCGTTATGGAGCTAGTATACGACGAAAAGAAAGCTGTAGCAGTGGTTAGCGAAGATACAAACATTGATAATGCTGAATGATGAAATGCGGATGCCATTAAGTTCTGCAGAGTTTCGGTGTGCTCACTTCCGCCCTCAACAATTGGTGTTGCGTGAGTAGAAGAGGTTGACTTTGCTGACTTGGTGAAACGCTCTGCTAGAACGCATTGCCAAATCTTTACGAAAAGAAATGCATTGTCAGCCCCAATACCTGAAAATAAATTTTAAAATACTTTGTTGCAAACTATTTTTAAATATCATAAGGAAAGAAATAAATTTATTTACCTATTATTACAACCACAGCCAATAAGTTCATATATGGAAAGAATGACATTTTAAAGACCAAAGTATAGGCAAAATATGCTAAACCCAATGAAAACAGCACTGCTACACAGACCATCAACGTAACGAAAATCGACGTAGTATACAACCAAATACATGTCATAACGAAGATGCCGCCTAATGAGACCAGCCAAACGTCCGTAAGCAACGACTCATTAAATAGTTCATTTTCAAGTCCCAAGTCCATTGACACTACCTGAACAAGTTCATTTTTTAATTCACTGAAAAAATGGAAAAAAAATTTATATGAAAGCAATTACATTTATATTTAATATAAACTCATAACAAAAAATTTTATCTACATAAATTCTGTGATATAATATTAAAACTACATTATAGCTTATTTTTGTGCTCTTGGACAATACTCTTAGTTGGTTGGAAAATGTTGGATTGTTGCGGAAATCATTTGACCACGTACAAGTTTGACTTCAGAACCAGGAAGTCAAATAATTTTGCTAATAGAGCCCCGAAAATTGAGCAACCTGATGAACCGCTTATAAGCAATTACTATTGGTTTCCCTTACAGACAAATGGCATCCAAGCAAAAAGCAAAGTATGGCCTAAAACTACGGTTGGCATGGAGGAATATAAAGATTTTGTAAAACGTTTGGAGAACTGCAAAAAAGAATTGTTTAAAATGTTTTTTAGATGTCCCGATGTTGACACTAAATTAATTGAAAAAATGTTAAGAGATTTAGAAAAAAGTACATATATGGTAACCTATTCACCAAATTATTTTTATTCCAAGAAGGAGTCTCAACGTTTCTTAAGAACAGCACACGAAAAGAGTAACTTGAAATATTACGAAACCACTTACGGTACTTACTACAATCGCGTAAAAGAACTGGAACGATTCAAAGATGTTCTGTATGGTATGATGCCAAAACACGAGAGGGATAAATTTCATGACGAAATAAATAAATTGTATATAACGGGAGTAACTACTTATCAAGTTAGCTACAATATTCCTGCAATCGAGCAATCAAAAAAGAAACAAACCAGAGACGCGCCAATTGATAGATATACATTACGTCGAGTTTAATAGATGTGTATATATATAAAATTCCTGTATGTTGGTACGTTATATAACTCTTGTATAAAATTATATACTTACGTATCTTCCCATTCATGAAATAATGGAAGAATTTTTGATGTAGATGCTACAGGTACAAATATCATTGCATATTTCATAAATACTGTTGTGTCCTGTTAAATGTAGTGAATGTTAAATTTCAATTTGACTATGTTAATTAATTTTACTTACATTCATACGAATGAAATTGTAATCGGTCAAAAAATGTAAAATATTATAAACAATATTTCCGTGGGTACATTCGCTTGGCGCTTGACAGGGGCTAAACTCGCTGCAATCATTACTTAACTTTAAGTCGTGATAATATTCGAAACACATCACCAATAAATTTTGTAGCGTGACAACGTCCGTAGTCTGAAAAATAATGAAACTTTGCAAAAAAAAAAATTCATAATAATAAAACGGATTTATACATTTAAATCAAAGCAAGAGCTCTTATTGACCAGAAGTGCAGCATAATTGGGTAGTGACCATGGGCGACAACAGGTGTCAGTGAGTTCTTCTCTTTGGCAAAATTCACCATAACTTGGTATAGCAATAATTTGATTCTGTAATTGACACATGGCTAGCAAACCATAAAGATCAAAAAGTGAATCCGTATCATTAGGACCTATACGCTCAACTACAAAGTGGGAGTAATCTTTGGATGGTGAATCACAAAAGTAACCTTCAACATGTGGCCCAGTATTTCCGTTTGGCGGAAATCGAGCTTGTTTGATTATGTTCCAAGTACTCTTTTTAGACTGCACCTTTTCTCGGTGGTAGTCTTCATCAATGGATGTGGTATTACGACCGTATTCAAAATGTTCACTCCGATTTAGTTGTTCCAAGCTTGACAGTGAATCATTTGTAATCTCATAATCCCGAAAGACGCCACTATCACCATTCCATTGAGTTGGCAAAAGATCGGTGTCATTACTCTTACGATTTGTTATATTAAACCGATTTTGCAACGAAATTATCTTCTTACTCAGGTGTAATTCTTTGTTATGGTGTTTTGGGTTTTTGGGCTTTTTTCGATTTTTACGTTTGTGAGTTCGATTGTGTCGTTGATGTTTCCGCATATTTTTTAAATGATGATAGTTATTCTTATTGTAAAACAGCAAATCATTTGGGTCTGTCACCAGACTACCAGAGGGTCCAGTCTCCTGTATTAAATTATTCCAAGCGCTTAGACGTTTTCCTAACGCTGTACCTCGTGTTTCAAATCCCTGCAATCACGGTTAAGATATGTAATGAAAACATTTTTGCAATAACTATGTAAATATCTTACACTATTCAAGTTATTCTAAAAAAAAAACTGAAGATTATATTGAACTCAAATCGTGAAGGATATGCTTTCTACTAAAGCAGAAGTGAAACTTTTTATAAATAAAACAGTATGTATAAATAAATATGAATTAAGGTGGAAATATATCGAATAAATTTGTCTTATGTTTGTGACAGGACAGGATGAAGCCACCTCCTACCGAAATCCGATACACTTTAAAAAGTAATGCATATAATATTTTAAATAAGTGGGTTATAGAAAAAAATTTGCGTAAACACTTTCATATAGAATAGCTAAATAAACATATAATATTATAGTTAAGTAAATAATTTACACATACCAACGTGGGATCACTAAAGTCTGGTATCGAATTCATGGTCACGGATACAGTGATGCAAGCTATGCATAAAACGGCCACGGCCAGGACCATTAGATAAGGCCGTCGCACCAAAAAATTGTAATACCAATGCATAGGTAAGGCCGTAATGAAGTCCGAAATTGAGTGACTTTTCTAATATTTATATTCCTTTTAATGCACATATATCCTTTGTGTATTTAACCGAGTAATTTCCAAATGCCATTAAAATTGCTGACCTTTCTAAAAATTACTTCACCGTATTTATTTGATTCAACTCATATTTAATCCTCACACTTAATTCTGTTGATATTATATTGTATACTTTCAATATATTTACTCATGTATATCTTAAACACTTTTTCGTACATTTAGATGTATGTTAATGTATGTGCTATTAACATTTGCAAATTTCTATGAAAGAACAACAAAAAACAAAACGACTACAGGTATTCACTAAACAAATAATGTTTGGAAAATAAGCATATGAAACTGTCTATGTAATAAATATTCGGACATTATTGCCAAAAATCTATTACAATTGCAGTTTCAATTTGTAATCTACCCCCTTTTCCGTATGTCCTCAGTTGTCTATTTAGAACTTTACGACCATTCAATCTTAAGTTCATTTATTTAAATAACTTTTACAAAAATGTTTTAGTATATAATTTGAATATTTTCAATCAACATCATTTATTCAACAGCTTTATTAGTATATTAGAAAGTTATATGTTCTTGTTTTTAAGTAATCAAACTAATTATTAATTCATTGCTCGTTGTTACCCAATCTATTCTTGCAATCAATATTACATTATAATAGTAAAAATATATATTTTAAAATTAACTAAACAGAATTATATTATACAAAATAGGAGTCTTTCAATGCAACTCAGAATTCAAGCAGCTGATCGGTAACTAGAATAATAAAATCCGCCGGGTTATTTAATCATTTTGTTGATTAATTTTTATAAATGGAAATAAAGGTGTAGGAAATACCTTAATGAATAATTATTAGTAATGATACGAAAACTTGCAAATGTGTTTAGAGGGCAGTTAAAATATAATGGTAATTCATTTCAAAACGTATCAACCACATGGTATTCAGAAACTAGTAAAGCCTTCTATTGTACAAAAAGTGAGAACGAAAGCCAGGCACAAAATGATGATAGTGCAGGAAGGGGCAGAGGGAAGAGTAATATACGAAAGCCACCGCTTCCCGCTATTCAAAATCCTTTTGCCAATGTGACAAATAAAACCAAGGAATCCTACTTAGCGATGTTGGAGATTTTCGAAGAGCGTGACGTTCATCGGCGGAATCATGTCGAGTTTATTTATGCTGCTCTCCGAAACATGGCAGATTTTGGCGTTGAACATGATATAGAAGTGTACAAAGCTTTAATTAACGTTATGCCGAAAGGAAAATTTATTCCCACTAATGTTTTTCAAGCCGAATTCATGCATTATCCCAAACAACAACAGTGCATAATAGATCTGTTAGAACAAATGGAAGATCTGGGTGTAATACCTGATTATGAAATGGAAGCTATGTTGTTAAATGTATTTGGACGACGAGGACACCCATTACGTAAGTATTGGAGAATGATGTATTGGATGCCAAAGTTTAAAAACTTATCACCATGGCCTCTACCAAACCCTATACCTGATGATACACTAAATATCGCTCAGTTGGCTGTAGAGCGTATGTGTACAGTAGATTTGCGATCAAAGATCTCTGTATATGAAACCAAAAATGTCCAGGATTCTATTGATGATACGTGGATCGTAAGTGGCATGAGTGCAGAACAGTCACAACTATTAAGAGATCATCCCCGCGATAAAGCCGTTTATATAGAAGGTCCCTTCTTGATTTGGTTACGAAATCGCTCAATAAATTACTTTACGTTACGAGCTGATCCAGATCCAAACTACCTACAAAGTCTTCAAGAAGAACAAGAAGATCAGGATGGTATGATTATTTTTGTTTCTATTATAGGATATTTAAATAAATTAAAATCTATAAATTTTTAGACGTATCGCGGTTAAAAGCGCCATTCTTTGGCTCCGCGATTCCTCGATCCAAAAATGCAGTTAGTAAAAACCGTTCTGTACATCAACAAGAGGATGGTACAATTTTTGCAATTTGTGCAACTGGTACATCCACAAAAGACTCATTATTGTCCTGGATAAGATTGTTAGAATCTAACGGAAATCCCACCTTAGGTGAAATACCCGTGCTGTTTAGATTTAAATCTGTTGTAACAGCGAAAGCAATTGAAATAGAAGACAAAGCGAAATCTGATAATCTGCAATCGAATCCCAGTTCAAAAACTACGGATTGAAATATGTTGTAATTTATATCTTACGATGTATTAAATAAATTTTTCTTTATAATAAAAAATTAACATTCATTAGGGTAGAATTTCACACTTTTTATTAAAGTCGAAAAGAACAGTCAACATAGTAATAAATATGTGCATAAGAATTTATGGGGGTATTACTGTCAAAATATGATAACTTCTTATACTTTTTCTTGTGACGCTGGTATTTTATGACCTCAAACTAAATGAAAATATATCACACACAAATTTACATGTAACATTTGCAACTGGTAGCTATAAAATTTTGCAAATTAAATGACAACCGACAACGATGAGTCATTCGTGATATGTATAAATTCACCGAATTAAAATGCTATAGATTTCTATAAATATATACATAATCTTGTTCAAAGAAGTTTTTCTATGTAATTTGGAAAATACAATCAAAATTGTTTTTTAGTTGAGCTTTTAAAAAAGATTATTCGAAAATATTTTTTTGAGTTACAATATGTACAGTAATATCTTTAGATCATGTTCGAATTTTAAATCCTATAAAGTATGTCTAGACCAGAAAATCTATGACTAGAACTCTCAAACTTGTTTGAAGTATTTTCGTAAAAATTTAATCCACTTTCAATCATATGCAGATTATAAAAATCTAATTAATTATATTATAGTGATTGAGGTATAGGTAAATGTAACATTTATAAAACCTAACTATTTTTCAAGTCAAGTTTCAGTTTAATTTTGAAAAAAATTTATCCGGCTGATTTGTTGAGAGGGAAAACTTTCGTAACTACACCGATGCCCTTACTTGTGCCTTCACGAAATAGCATCCGTACGCCTGGTCGAACATACTCAGGATGTCCAACGAATTCAAACAAAACCAAAGCACTATCATTGGTACCCATTTTTTCGCGCTCCTCTATTGCTCGAATAATTGCAGTTTGCCGTATACTGCTTATGTGTATAGTCGTCTGAAAGCCTACGTAAATTGCTGTAGCGTGAAAGAGAACAGACACTTCCGCCTAAAATATTAAGAAAAACAAAATTAGCACAATATTGAAGTATACTAAAGTTATTTTAAAACATTACTTGAAAAAGGAGTGTACCATATGGTTCCTCTTCAGGATCGCCAGTATCGCCCAACAACGTCATTCCACTTCTAAGTGGAGGCAGCGTCTGGTTTGGGATGAATGATAAAGAGGCACTTTGCCCCGCTCGTACCATCCTGCATGGAGCTTTGTTCCGATGAATTGTGTGCACATTAACAGTATGAAAGCTACCGTCATGTAAAGGTCCAATTTTCATTTGCATGTTTTCCGTTAGTACTCCTTTTACGAGTAAACCGCCAACTACTGGACCAACTTCGGTTACTCGAAAAATCTCATCAATATGAAATTCACTTGATTCCTGTTCTAGACGTTCTTTTTCCAGATTACTAATACTGGGTGATAGAACGTAGAGAAACTTTGTAACGAGACTAAGTCCTGCTCCTGTCACGTTTGAAACACAAAAAATGGGAACAATATTTTCGGAAACTTGATTAGATGCTGCTGAGATAGCCTCATCAGCATTTGTGACAATAAATGGTAGCTTCCGACATCCTACTGATGTAAGAACCTGCCTTAATTCTTGTACTGTTTGTTCCGGGCTTGTTATATCGGTCTTGGTAACAACAATGAAGAACGGCATATCCAGGGCTCGGACAATAGAAAGATGCTCCTTACTAGTACCAGTACAACCGCTGCCTGCTGACACTACCAACATGGCATAGTGCGGAGAGTAGCCCAACAGTGCCTGCACTGTTGTTCGCATGTAGCGTCTATGACCAGCCAAGTCTAGAAACGTTACCAGTTTTGTGGAGCGGTCGCTAATCTCCTCGGCAGTCGTCAATTCATTATATTTGTAGTTTATGATTGTGCCCTGTATTGAGATACATTTAATATTCTTTAATATTTTTTTATTGAATTTTTAGATGTTGTTGAAATGTCTTCTCACCTGCGAATCGAAGCCAAGAGTTTCGTGTGAAATACTTGAAGTTCGACCCGATTGTATTTCGTGCATATGTCTAAACATAATAAGCCGTGCCAAACCACGGCCATTGTCGAATTCCCCTTGCGTAAGAACACCTAGTAATGTGGATTTCCCTGCCTCCGCGCCCCCCAGTACAGCCACACGAATTTCTATATTATGTTGATCATCAGGTATTTTACGAACTAAAACTTCGGCAACGGATCGTCGGGTTGCTATATATTTTCGTCGTAAAACTGAGGTACTAGCCCCTAATTTTTGCGCCATTTGCTTAAGTGTGGCCAGGGAGGCACTCATGTCTTTTTCATTAAGCCCATGTAAGTGGCCTGAGTCAGATACGCCGATTTCGTAAACAGCTTCACCATTTCCTTCGCGCAGTCTCCATTTCATTTGAGTTACAAGATGTTCGAAGCGATGCTTCGATGGACTAATTAATTTCAGTTTGTACTCAATATTTCCCAACTGTGGTTCGGGTGGTAAAATGCCCTGATCAAAATCAATAATAATTTTATTATTTTGCAAATCTATTTCTCCTTCACTGCTACTGCTGCTTCCGCTTTCAATGGCTCTTTTATGTGTGCCACCTTTTGCTTTTACAGAAGTTTTCCGAATCTTTGATCCATTGCCACGAACTGAACGGTTGTTATTGTATTTGTCTGCTTCGTGATTTCCTTCATCGGAATCGAACAGACTTATAAGCCCACAGTCCATAACCTGAAGAAGAAATAAAGCAAATCAACGTCAAATAAAAATACAAATGAGTCAAATGAAAAATAAATAATATAAAATTATATCAATATTATCTAGTTTTATTCAAAAAAAAAAGGTATATACTACATAAGCATGCATGAAATTGTAGAAATAAGAAGCTGGTAAATCTGAATAACACCGTGGGAATATAAATATTTCATATTTCGATGATAATACGTTGTTTTTTTTTTTTTTGCTTCATTTCTAGTTAATTTGAAAGAGCCTAATAATTACACGTATTGTATACATACAAACTATAACTCTTATGTATGTATTAATGTAGGTTTAGTAAACTTATACTTTTAAATGACGTGTAATGATTGAGTAGGTACTAAACACAAAAGGTTTGACAAATTTCACAATTCACAAAAATTGGGATTGTTTTCCATATAACCGCACACTACTAAAAAAAATTAATAACGTATTTTGGTGACCTTGAAAGTTGGGGACTTGTTTATTTATGTTTGATGCCAAGAATGGACAGAAATCTTCGGTTTATTTCATTTTTGCGAATACTTAATAAACGTATGCTTTTTATTTGCTTTTTGTTAAATTCTTTTTTAAGTTAAATTTATCATTAGATACCACAATATTCGTACTTTTGAAATTTGTTTGCTAAATTACCCGCTAAATTTTGGGTTCCCGTTTGTTTTTCCTTTTACAAATAATTCTTCATTAGCCTGTTAGGCAGAAATCGATTTATTGCAACATTAGATATTAAACGTAGGCAAATACAAATAGGGAATGCAAAGAAGAGAATGATGTACAATAAATGCAAACATAAATACTAAAGTGACTGTCAATCTGATACCCATACATACAGATTTTGTTACAATAGTAATTATATCACATTGATTAAAGTTGAAAATTGGTCAATTCAGCATGAAACTTTAAAATTTCTGTTCGAGAATAAAATATCAGTTTAAAATATTTTTGTACAGTAAAGTTTTATATTTTAAAATATCAGACAAACATTCGTACTAAAAACAGTTTTTGTAATAATATTTTTTCAGAAGTAAAGCACTCAAAATGTGTTGCTTTGTGTTTCTATTTACATACATATATATATATGTAGATATACTTGTACACTGTGAGAATGCTATTTCCAATTCTATTTCCTACGGGGTTTGCATGAAACAATTTTTGTTTACTTCGATTATGTATAATTCGCGTCATTTCGTCTCTATTGGTTTGACCATACAAAAAGAAGGATTAGTAAAATAAGAGAAAGTATTTCGTTGTTGTTAACAACAAAACTTCTTTGTTTTGACTTTGCAATTTCCTTGATATCACAACAGAGGAATTCCAATAAGAGCGCCAAGTGCTCGTTCATATTAATTTAGTTACATGAAAATTCATACACCTGTAAATACAAGTTTACTATCCACCAGGAAAAGTTGTAGAAATATAATTTTCACTAATAACAATGTTTGGAACAATAAAATTATTTCAATTTCAGCTATTGTCTTTTGCAACAAAAGAAAACTGAGATTTTTTATTTACTATTTGGTATACTGAAATCCTTTCACTTTTTTCAAATGTAATTTGCTGATGCAATTTTAGAAGACAAATACAGTCGAATGCGTTTTAAATTATTTCACAATCGCGTATACAAATGTCTTAACAGTGTTTTATTTTTTTATAATTTCGTACTTGAATATTGCTTATGAACGCTGTTTGTTTATTTCGAAGAAAATTATCACAATATAATAAAATAATTATATTATTTTATATTATTATTATATTTTATTATAAAATGCAGCATTACTTTTATTATCTCCGAATTTTATTGCCTAAAATCGCGTCTCTAAATAAGAGTTTCCTACCCCAATTTTTATTTTATAGGTGAATTTGTAATGGAAACTATAATGCCAATTTACACGTTACGATTGGTGTTTAGCTTAATGCACCGAATGGTATGCCTAACATGGATTTAATATGCTATTATCTTTTTGTGACAAATTCAATGTAAATAAATATTCCACGAACGATTATTAAAATCTTATACTAGTCTGGTCTTCAAAGCATTCAATAAATTCAAAACTTGAAATTTGTAAAGCAGCAATTTCTTTTCCCAGTATTTCCGCTTGCAGTGTTGTATGCAAATTATTAAAAAGAAATTAAAATGAAAATCAGGAAGCTCTGGACGTACAGCTGACTTTTGTTTACATCGCGCCAATAATAAACAAATAAGTATTAGCGGCATTTGTATGTTCAAAGCAAAGCTTAGAAACGCAAACCTAAACAATTATTTATTATATTATATTATATATTATTTTCATACAAAAGCCCTATTTTTGTTTTAGATTCTTTTCGACTTATGGATTTATCCGACAAACAAATTTGATTTACACTGGCATCATCTGGTTCGCTGTGCCTCAACGGAAACTAATGGGATAATATTTATTCATTCACTTCTGGCTGACATTGGTTTTCATTTATTAGTTCATTGAAAATATAATTCTGAGTTGCAGTTTTAGACTACATTTTAAACACACATTTTTGCCATGCTCCCATATGTGAACAACTCCTATAGCCAGACAGAAACATTGCGACGGTGTCCAGTTATGACGAATTTCAATAAATATAGTTAAGTTTCCTCTATTGGATGGTTAACATTACTTGTCATAAAGATCAAGGCAATGAAAAGCGAACCACACTCATACAAACGTCTTTTAAAACTGTAGAATAAACATGGGTTTTGGATTCCGATATCAGGGATAGAAAAATATTAGATATGATATGAAACTTATACATTTATTTATGCAAATGAAATTTTTATACATACATATATCAATGCGTGTATATTTTTCTAGCAAATATATATTTAAATCTTAGAAATAGATTAATATAGTAACTAGTGACATTTAAAAGCCATTATAAAATTAAAACATGCGTGCACATAAATGATCACATTATATTGGATACATATGTACATTTGTATTGTATTTGTTATATTCTCTAGAGGAATAACGTAAATAAAATAATAGGCATCTTTGCTCCTAATTAATAATGGAAAATAAATAATCCAATAATTTTTTTAATTATTGACATGTTGTGACTTAAGTGTCTTCAGGTAAAATAATATTTCTCCTCTGTTGAATTCGTAAAGTTCGTTGGGCTTTTTGGACTTTCTTGAAATGTTCCAACAATATTTCAAAGTCAATGTTGCTTTGATGTTGCAGTGATTTACTTTCATTGCTGTTGATATATATTAAATGATAAATATGCATTAGCTTTTGAATTACGTGTATACTTACATTGGTGTTTGGCCCCAATATTTTGGTACACATTGCAAACGGTTTTTTAATAAGTGAAAAGCATCGGTTTGCGGCAAAAGCATAAGAATACCAAAAAGTGCATGAGCCAAATGTTGAGCATCTGCACAATTATTCGATTTTGAAACCAGAGTTAGCCGCAATGCTGTAAATGCAAATATATTATGAATCAATTATACTTACAAATTATTTTTGTTTGAAAAAATTAAATCAGTCTTGGTGAAAGTATGCTTCATTGTACTTACGCGCGAAAATTGGTGATTCTATCAGCTGTACCAGTTTGTCCAATTCGTTCAAGATATCTAAAGTTATCTCTACGTCACCGCTGAAATTATTGCAAATTAAATGGTATGCATATATATAATTACTTCGTTCTCAGCCAACTTTTAAAGTTTGATTGTCATTTTATTAAATATCAATTTTACTTACAACAGTACAACCAATTGCGATACATGTTGATAACTTTGGGTTAACAAACAAAGGGATAGTGTGGAGACGGGACAATGTGCCCAACTTTTGTAAAGGCATTTAAATAAATTTGCGGAATGTTCATTTGTAATGTCTCGTAGTGAATTACGCAGTTCAAACAATTCAGGTGATGTCAAGAGTATCATGTTGAGTAAACGGACCATTGTTGATGCAAATTTAATAACTTCTTCATCAATGATTTCAGAAAAGGTGCGATAGATATATTCGGCGTTTAGCAGTACACACAACTGTCTGAAATACAATATTAAATCACGTAAAATTATGAATAAATTTGATATTTGAAGAAGTAATAACAAATATTACCTAATTATAAGGCTGGCACGATTGTCCAAAAACTTTTTTTCCTCACTAAACAAGTTCAGCAAACTTAGAAGGAATTTTCGATAATGCGCTTTATTGAAATCCCTGGAATCTATTTTAAACGAAAAAATATAAATGCGATGCTAAATTAAGTATTTAAATTAACATAATTCCAGAAGTGCTTACTATCATTATGTGTTGAATTCAAAATTTTGGCCAAAACAGAGAGACATTGCAGTACGACTTCATCGGAATTATCTGATAGTATGCCCAGTAAGTTAGCACCTAAACTGCTTGCATGTGGTGACATCTAAATTTTAAAAATTTATTAAATTATTTATATGGGGAGTTAATAAACAAACCTCGTTGGGGAAATGTGTAAATAGATGATGGATCCATTTCAATACAGCAATTTTCGTGTGCACTGAATTATGGGTTAAATACTGCGACAAAACTTCCATAACTGAACGTAAATCTATTTTTTCAATATTTTTTGACTTGTGCTCCTTTGATGAAATCAATGACATCATCGAGTTGTTTACCGAAACTGCACATTCTTTGATATCTGTGAAATTGTAATTATAGTAATGAATGGTAAAGTCGAAAATTCAATTATTGTTAATACTTTTCTTAGATTCCACGTTGTACTCTAGACAGGGTAATATCGCAGTAAATATTCCACTGGCATGCGGCAAAACATTTGGTCCAAATGTTTGTACAAATTCACGTATCCACGTTATAGCGATTGACTAATATATACGTATATAGTATAAACGCAAATAACTACAATAATTATCAAAAATACCAAATATTTCATTTTATATATGTACATACCTTAATAAGTTCATTAGTAGATTGGGCATGAATAATTAGTATGTTTATTGTATCCTCCATTCGCACCGAAGTAGAATCATATCGGATAGATTTTAAAAACTGACTTAAAGTAGTTTCACACCTAATATAAATACAAAAAAAAAAAAAAAAAATCGTACCACCAACCTGATAATCTAAAGAAATTCGTACATACATTCGTTGAATTTCTAATGTGTTGTCCTCTAACATTGTAAAAAGTCCATCCAAAATGTCAGTTAAATAGATTAACATATTTATTTCTGGAACCGCGTTCAAAATTGAAATCCACGATATAACATATTGCCTTGCAAATGAGTTGTTTACGTAAATACGTTCCTTAAGAAGTGGTATAAATGCCTCTAGATTAAAAATTTGTGAAGACTCAGTTACGATATCCTGAAATTATGCAAATTTACTGGTTAATTCATATTTTGAATATAATTGTGTAAAAATTACCTTAAGCAACCGATCAAGCAACTCACTGCCGTCCTTAACCATTTGATCTGAATCTGTCACTAATCGTGATAATGCCGAGAATAGGTCTGGGAAAAATGGTATAATGGCAGCTCTAGCTACCTTAACAACATTGTATAAGGATTCGCATGCGAAATAGCGGACTCGAACGTCCGGATCACTAAGGCAGTTTAATATTGGCGTAACCAGTTCCCCTACATACCGTTCCGAATCCTATAAAAAATAAATTAATAGTACAAGCACTATCATTCATATTCATTATGACTCACTTTTCCTAATCCTAGGCTTGTTGCAGCAAGCCCAATTAAGCCCCCTTTCCGGCGATTGGGATCACGAGATATCGCAAATTGATTTGAAAGAACTTCTATAAGTTTTCGTATCTGTACCGTGTTATTTTTCGTATTAAATTCTGTCACCATTCTGCAATTAAAGTACAATAAAAATAACTACTTGTATGGTGTATAAACACCATTTTTAAAATACTTTTCGATTTCCTGTGAAGCAACTTTACGCTTCTCATAAGCCTTGTCTGCCAGGGCCTTGGCACAACTTTCGCTCAATGGTGCATATTGTGATTCCATTTCTTCTCGTATTAACTTATTCATACAATTTATCTGATTATTAAAAGTAATCAAATCCGCAAATTTTCTCACAATAGGATTGTCGCAGTAAATTTTTTTCTATATTAACAGTGTTGCCAACGTATTAATTTTAAATCATTTTGGTAAAAGTTGACTAGAAAATTCGTTGTTAAAATAATGTCTTACGAACAATCAATACATTTCTATTATAAAAAGAATATGTTACTTTTAAGAGTTGTTGTAACGGTCTTTTAAGAGCTCGTCGCAATCGCTTGGGTGATTTCAGACTACTGCTATAGTCGTGAATTACAAAAATAACAATCCCAATATGAATTTATTCGAAGCGTTCCCAAAATTTTATTGCTTTAAATTTAAAATAATTACAATAATATTATTCACATACTATGGAACACCAATGAAGATTCCGCTTTATTTAAAGTGTAATTAACAATCTAACTTTCCTCAAATATATAAATTTATTATTATATTATATATTTCATATACAAAATGTTTTAACAAAACTCAGTTAGGAAAAAACAAATTGGTTAATACGAATCACCTCATTTTAATAATATATTGTTTATGTTTTATTTTACGGTTCACAGATTTGGTTGATACCAAACTATTTTACCACTACGACAACCTGCGACCAGTAGTGGTTCACGGGGACTAAATCTCGTACTCAAAACTATATCAGAATGAGCTCGAATTGTCTTAATCTCTGACAATGGCTGAGCCTGTCTTTTCGAACTGGAGTAATTGCTGTGATGTGGATAAACTGAGCAATCTTTTGAGAATCCGAGTAGTCGTACCCCTGTTGCATATGGTGAGCAAATAATACGACCATCAGATGAAAAGCATGGTTCTTTTATGAATGTGTTTTCCTTGTTCAATTCCTTTATATAGTATGTCAATTTTTTGGGGTTTTGAAAAATTTTTCCTTCTGACTGGTTACCAGATGCTCTTGGAGCTACTGGTGATATTTCGGTTGGTTGGTGATGAGCTACATTTGACGAATTAATGCGAGGAGTCGATTCATCACTTGAAGAACCACTATCATCACTGCTTTCACGTGTTTCAAATCCTCGAATAAATCGAAAKCCCGAATTTCTAGACATAGGCAGTGTTGATGACGATGCACTGTTTAATCCACCAGCAGGCAACACTCCGCTGCTAATTGCATAAACAAAGTTGTAGACATTCGTCGCGTTGGTTTCTCTATCACGGTTCTGTCGTGAAGCACGATCTTGCATAGTTACTTCGGCCGCCCAAATATCTGGGACAAATGTATTTGCTGCATTATTATTACTGTTCGAACTACCATCTGCATTACCAGCACCAGCACTTCCCGACGGCGTGCCTGCATTACGAGCTATAAACTGGTCAAAGGGCATGACTGCCGGTGAATCTTCTGACCCACGGGACTGAATTGGTAATCTATTACCGCGTGTTCTACGGTTAATACTAAAAAATACATCATCGTTTGTTTCACTTCTTCCAGTTGCAGGTTGACTGGATTCAGTTTCATTATCATCTTTGTCTGCATCAGATTCACGCTTGCGTTTTCGTTTATTAGTGTCATTAGTGCGTTTCTTTATGCTCTCAGTTACATCATCTGACTCCTCTTCCATATCATGCACTGTCAACCATTCCGTAAGACCATCATAACTTATATTGCGACTAAGGAAACAGTGTCCCCTGGGATGAACCTTAATTAAGTAAAATAGTTAATACTTATTTTTAAAAATATATATAAAAATAAAATGTGTACCTCTAACGCAAGTATAACTTCAGCATCATTTTCTTTTGGGAAATCTGTAACAAGTTCCACTCTATTCTTTTTCTGTTTTTTAGAAAACACGTGATCGAATTTGGCTGCTTGGGGTATATACTGTTTTCCCATCTGCATTAGTCTATATATAATTGGCTGTAGAAAAAATAATCATATTATTGAAATTTACATTAATACCTAAATGGAGATTGTCACTTACTCGAAAACCACACAAATCCTTGTGTAAAGTTGTTAAGTCTAAATCATGTATGATCATTATATAGCCGCCTGTTGTACACAATACAAGTTTTGAGCCATCAGGGGTTATCCGACATCTCATTAAGCCACTTGTATGAAAAACTTTTTGGTATATAAGTCCTTGTTCAGTATATGAATTTATATCCCAAGTAAATATACTTCCATCAAACGCTGATGTTACCAGCAAATTATCCTTTTTAGAGTATTCTATACTTTTCACCCAATTTGAATGTCCTTGGAGGCTGCGCATTTTAGTTTTTAAGAATCGCAAATCCCATAAAGCAACTGTAGTATCGTCTGAGCAAGTTGCAAAATGCCGACTATTAAGGAATCTGAAAAATATTTTTTCTCAATCTAGTTTTCCAAATGAATTGTACCAATATCTTACCTGATGCAATTTACGTTTGACGTATGCGCGTCCATTATTCGCTGAGTGGTTTGTCTGCTGACAACATCAAACATTACTATAGCCTTTCTTTCACAAGCAGCAACCAACAATCCTCTTTTAATGAAAATAATTATTATACATATATTTTATTATACAATATATACAATAACACACCCTTCCGGAGAGAACTCCATATTGAACACGCCACCAACATTTAATGTTTCGTTATTAGGTTTGCTATATTTGTCATTCCACTGATATAAAGGACGCATGGATTGGTAAACTTGTGGCATAATAAAGTCTTGATCAGCTTGACTACGTAGGAGACCATTTTCACGCCGTAATAACCAACTATGAAAACTCATTTTAGATAGGTTGTTTATAATTACTCTTTAAGTTATGCAAAATTTTATGTTTTATCACTTTTTATCAACTTTGTGCAATTCATCTAAAGGCGACAAGTACTTAGGAGAATTTGATGGAAATATTCTAAAATTTACACTTAAATATACAATTTTTGAAACTGCAATCCTTTTTCGCGTCTTGATTACTTTTCATCAGCTGTGTGCTATATATTCACAATTTTATTTAGGAAATATAATTTTGCATTCTACAATGCTTCTTCTTTATCAGGTATCGATGCAACTAATTTCGAACGAAAGCGATATACCCCACACGTTCAAGGTCAACCGGCAAGTTTTAGTTTAAATACTTACAAATTAATGCATTTAAATTATGTAATACATTTAGACATCAACGGTAAGTTTTGAAATTTATTTATGACCTTACGGTTTTGACAGCGCGCTAAGATGTAAAGTTGGGTGCAGAAACCAAAGAAATTATAATTTTTCTGAAAAATATGTACATTGTACAAACATATACAAGTATTATTAATAAATAGTTTGGTTTGCTTTTTATTTCTTTTGTACTAATTTAAGAATTTTAGCGAGAGTTTGACGTTATTCCTGCTTTACGCAGCTCAACGCCTTTATTAGATCAGTTAATTATTACGTGGTGTCGCGAAAATTAATTTGCCATCACATCATCATACATACGGCTGTTGCCCTTACTTTAACGTTCTACGGGAAGACTAATCGAGGCATTATACAAATAGCTATCGATAATGCAAATACATATTTCCAAAACAATACGCAGAAAAGAAAAAAATCATTCCTTCAAAATTTATTTATTAAATACTGAATTTTAATTGAAGTTACATAGAATCGAAAGGAAGGAGAAGGCTTTAGTTAAAATGGTTGTTCCCGTTCCGAATCCAATTAAGGACTTGATTCTCAGGCTTATGGCTGAAAAGGAAGCAATGGAATCGAAAATATCCGATTATGGAAATATTTTGGCAAATGTAAGTTTTTCTTTAATTTATTAACTATATTTGCTTTAAAGTGTTTAATATCTATATATATATATATATTATTTCTACAGAATGCTAATGTGGGGATGGATGGACCCTTGGTTGATGCAGAAGGATTTCCACGGAACGATATTGATGTTTATCAAGTGCGACAGGCACGTCAACAGATAATTTGTCTTCAAAATGATTATAAGGCACTGATGAAAGAAATAGAAAAGCAAATGCATAAATTGCATTCCGAGGCAGCGGAAAGTCAAACACAATTGTTGTCAACCAATACAGCCACCTTACGGTTGGAAGATGATAATGAAGTGCCAATCACCAGCATGTCGTCAGCATCGGTGGAGCCACCAGTGAAAGTTATAGTAAAAGTAAATATGATAAGTCCGGGATCGCCGGCTGAAGAGGCTGTAAGTTACGAGAAACCTAATATCGTTTTAAATTATTATTCATTATTTAATTTCTTTCAGGGTTTGCGAGTAGATGATGAGATATTGGAATTTGGCACCATTAATTCCAGAAACTTCCAAAACAATCTAACCCAAATTGGTGACCTGGTGCGCCACATGCAAAATAAAAGGATTCCTTTGAAAGTACTACGTATGGGAATACAATTAGATATGATACTTATACCTAAAACGTGGAGTGGTCGAGGTCTATTGGGTTGTAATATTATATTAGCCGATGCTTAAGGATTTAAAGATTATAACACTTATCTAAAACATCTTTATTATATATCTATATTTTTTTAATACATCTACAGAACTTAAAGTTTACATTGAATACCGGAATATATATAATTTACTGTGATAACAACTTCAACGGTTTATGCCAAAGTCTAAAATTCATATTAAAAATTGAAAGTTGAAATGGAACCAAATCTTTTTGTAGCGAACACTTTTGTCAAAACTCCCATCAATTTTGCAATATTGCATTCAATAATTTTTTTTTACATATAAAAGCAAATATTAAAATATATTTGACCGCGGCTAAGTTTGAAAAACATTACTGATGTGAAAGGGTTTTACAAACAAATTTCTGTGCGCGTTTTGAAACTACAAATTCTTTTTTTATATGTATACTCAACATATGTGGAGATTTTTCTTAAAAAATTCATGCAAAAGCTGCGCCATTTTGTGACTAGTATCAACCCAGGTGCAGGAAGTTAAAAGTTATTTAGGCAGAGAATTTGATTTCTTAACAATGGTAGCTATTGTTATCAAATGATTCAAATGTTCTCGCCACAAATAGTCTCGCTGATCGAATCACCGTTATTTTATCTTCTTATCGATAACGATCAACGTATGTATATTATACATCCTTGTCGCAATTACAATTTTGTAAAATGTTGTGAATAGTTTGTGTTTTTTCTTTATTTACTAAATAAATGCACTTGGTGCAAAATTTTTCATATCCGGCAGTGTTCACTGCTCAATTGACTTACAATTTAAACAATTGTCGGAGTGTACAACAAGCATTTGGGGGATGAAGAATGATTTGACAGATTATTCTCAGTTGTTATTCAGTAAAAGAGACCGACCATCTTTCTCTCATAGCAACAGCATCACAATTGACAGTACCATTCGCTCACAGGACACACAGTAAATTCGATTTAGTAATTTTGAGTAGTCAAAGCGCGGACATTCGGTTACAAAGGTAAAAGCGATAGATAGTAAAACATTTATGCATATAAAAAATATTTTGAGCATAAATGAAATGAAAATTTTTAAAAAATTAAAATCAACTAATTATTGTGAAGAGTCCATACAATCCGGGAATGGATGAGATAAATTTTTTACTATATACAATAGTTCTCTTCCCTAATAAAATTTGTTCATGCCAAACGAATAATAAAACGAAGTGAAAATCACGAAATGGTATTCGCACAATGTGGCTGAGATAAATGCTGTTTTTAAATCGAAGTGTTTTAAAATAGACTAATATAAAATAAAATTATAAAAATGTTAATAATTGGGTTATGTATAGTGCAATCGGATTAAAAGTTTGCGGAGGATTATCCTTTTACAAATATACATGCATATGTATACGATCCTGTAGTAGTGTGCAATTTTACACATACATATAATACATGCGCTTAAATGTATGTACCCATTTGCTTGAGAGTTTCATGTGAAAACAAATGCTTGAGCTGCATATACATATATATTAAATTTACAAAGTGTGCTGTGATAAATATTGAAATTTTTCAGCTTCATACCTGAGCAGCTTCCCAAGTCTTTGTTTATAAGTATTTAGCTGCTATAATGAGTTCTAAAAGCGCATAATTAAAATCAACCGAATATATTCAATACGAAAAATCGCAAATTTATATCATTCCACTTTATATTTATGTTAATGTATACCATACCGGTGCCGACATTGCCTAGTGTTTATACTTCATAAAGATATGTTCATAATTCAAGTAGAAGTTCGACAAGACGTCTTCACTTATCTTAGGTGAAGATTATTATATACATACATATATCTTCGGGCATATTATTTAGATCTGATCAGTATAGCGTATATGTAGTTGGCATACAAACTGAACTATCAAATTCATGCCTTTGGAAGGAACAAATTTTATTTGGCAAATTATTTTCATGACATTTAACACAGATTATTGCCAAAGGCGAGACCACGATCTCCGAATAAATTGCTCAGATGGCTTCACTATAGCATACAGCTGCCATTTAAACTGACCGATCTAAATCAATACAAAGGTCCACCCTTTGATGCTTTATGAAATGCATCTGTTAGGATATTATAGCTTCGATACCGCTGAAGTTTTTTGAATTTTTTTCACTCTCATTTTTACTACTTTGGCACAAATCTATTAGGAAAGACATACAAACATTTTGATGAAATTAGTTATTTAGCTTTTTGTGAATAATTCAGTTCACGTTTTATCCTTTTATACATTTTTCAGCTTCATATTTTTTTAAATAATAGGTTTTGAAATAAAAAGGAAAGCAACAAATGAAAATGTTGTTTTCAATAGTTATAATACATATGCTTATTTCATTTGCATGTATTATGTTTATTGTTGTTATTTTTTCGATATATACATACATACATACATGCATATGTAAATGTTTTCACAAGTATATTTGTATGTATTAGTTTATGTACTATACATCCATATACCTGTCACTTCGCCATATAAATCAAATGCTAGTAAGATGCTACTGAGAGCAGAGATTTTACTCTCAAATCCAGCGGCAAGAGAGCAACTTTTTATAATTTCTTCAGCCATTAAGGACATGATGCAATTGTCGGCATCATGCCTTCGTGAGTCCTTTGCTCAAAGACGTTTATCGGGGTAAAGTTCACCAGTGTGCGGTTTCCAATATGTTTATGTGACTGTAACTAAATGAAATCAGACAGACAAGCATAAAGCAGGCAGGCATTTGGTGGAATAGCTCATGCAGTAAATAAGTGGCAAAGTTTGTTGGAAACATGTGCATTCGGTGGTTTGGTGTTCTTTTCAAAGGATTTCTCACAAAACTGTTATTTAAATATGTATATTGTGTTTAATTACAGCTAAGTGGTTGAACTCCGTTACGACTCTCTAATGAAAATCACTGTGTGCACGGCTATACATACCTACATATGTATGTATGTATATCTATTCTAATAAAAAGGAATTAGAAAGTTAAGCGAAAAAATTAAATTAAGCGTGTAATATATACAATTTCCTTGTTGTATGTACATATGTATGTCGGTATATGCATGCATGTGTGAATAATTAAAATGGTCCACGGCTGTTACATGGCAAGGCTACATAATTCGACGCTACTGGTACTGTGCCTTTTGCCATCAAGATTAACAGCAGTGATATCGTTACTAAAATACCAACAAACATCAGGCGAACTGTGTTGAAACTTTACGCTGCTTCGCTGCAATGTGGCAAATTCGCCGTCATACAGCTTGCACAAGTGATTTGTATAAATGTGACGTATATTTAGTTGTGTTTTGTTAACCTCGCATTCGGTTAAAAATAACACAAGGTCATCGTAGATTGCAACGTAAATAGTTTCATTATCCTTCTGAGCGGCAGTTATACGAAACTTACATTATTTTCTATTTTCAAAACTTATAAAAGCAAATGCGACACATAAATTATCGATTGTTGGAATTACAATTAATTTTCTATTTATTTTCATCTATCTTTTTTTAAATCGCTATGTCCGTCGTATTGTGTCAATATACCATGGTTAGATTAAGAGATTTGTCTGATCAAATTTGACCCAGACTGATACGTTTATACAAACATTTAATTTTGCCTTCAAAGTAGGCTCCTGAGCCAATACAAGCATGCTAACGCCTAATAGATTTTTCCATACACTTGTTGTCATTCATGTATGTGTATGGACTTCAGCTCCTTCAGCGAATTTTGTTTTATCTCTTCGATCAACTGAAAACGGGTTCCTCGGAGAGCAAATTTCGGTTTGGGAAACAAGAAAAAATCGCACAGAGCCGAATCTGGTGAATACGGTGGTTTATCGTTGGTATTTATTGCGGATGTTCTCCCGCAAACGGGTAAATACAAGTAGAAGTACTCGTCTTTCCCTCCGGAACAAATGCATGATGCACGAAACCACAAATATCGAAAAAACAATGAGATTCACCTTGATTTCGAACCATTCCGATGGTTGTTGCCTTGTGTGCATGTCAAACTCATAAACCCATGTCTCATCAGTGGTTTCCATTGATGTTGATCGGAATTCGCATCATCAAGTATCTCCAAAGAGACCTGTTTACGGTTTACGGTACTATTTTGAAAAAAATTCAGTTTTATCGGGACGAGTCGAGTGAGAACGCGTTCATACCCAAAATATTCACCACATTCATTCGAGTCGGAGAAATGTCGAGCACTCTTAAGATCTCTCTAACACTTGCCTGACAATTTAATGGTGCTTGAACTTCCTTCACTTTTTTAATATCTTCATCACTTAAGAGGTGGAATGTCGTCCAGAATGTCTTCAACGATTTCTCGACCGCCTTTGAAGGTTTTGTACCACTCGTAGGGTTGTGTTTTTGATAAAACTGAATATCCTTTTCCAACATCCGCACACAAAATTTGGTAAGAAATGCAAGATTTGAGATTCTGATGAATTTTTGCTAGAAGTATTTTTTTTTTTTTCAATCTCTAGAGATAAGTGCCAATAACTGTACGCCAAAAATATTTAAAGGGAGTTGATTTACTTATATAGTTAAAGTTTAAAATATTACGGAAAATATTTCTCATTGAAGTATTAAAAAGAAAAAAAGAAAGTAATAATTAAAAACAATTCAACATTAAAAATCGAATACTCTTTAATCATACTGTTGGGGTAACTTCGTACACATAGTGACATAATTGGAGAATTGTTATATTCACATCAAGGACAACATAATTCAGCCATATCAGCAATATTATAAATTTATTGGATATATTCATACTCGCAAATAAAACTTATAAATCAACAAATTACATATAATTGCTACGGGTTTTGAATGCGCTTGGCGCTCAGCGTTTCGACGGTGGCAAGCAATGTATTTTCAATATTCAAATAGGAAATACAAGTATTCATTATAATCGCAATGATAATGAAGCTAAAAATAAAACTTCGCCTAAATGAAGAATGAAGAAACAAAATGTTCGCACGATATCCTTGATCGTGTGTACATTTACATATTTACTAGTTGGCGCTGCTGTATTTGACTCGCTCGAATCGGAAACGGAAAAGCGGCGCTGGGAAGCACTGCAAGGTGAGTATCAATATTTAAGTCACCGCTTTATGCTTAGCAACCGTAAATATGCCCTACTGTAGGAAAACGAGACTATCTATATGCATACGTACCCATACATACATACATATATACAAATCCTGCCTGTTTACATACAGACCTAGATAAATTGGCAAAACGACAAACGCAAGTGGCCCACTTTTGTAAGCACATTAAATAAAGTATGTGCTTGTGCTAAGGTGTTCTCATGCATGAGAGGGTTACGAATACATTGACACACATTTATTTACATTTAAGCATCCGGCTAGTCACTTACATGCACATCGTGTTTGTAATTTTCTTGTGCACTTTTGTACGAGTGGCTTTTTAAACAGGTTTTGTTAGATGACTTTGTTGACGTCAATTGACAATGAACGAATTTATATCGATGGCAATAATTAAAGTACATGACATCTTAAAGGATGGCATCCAACGGTGATACGAAGCTTGTTTAGATGTGACGTTGACCAATATTGTTGGAAGTTTATTTTTTGGTTTCACATGCGCATTGTCTAATTGTTTTTACAACTAACGGTTGTTTGGAAGTCTGACGTCTGTTCGTTCATGCAGCGGATAACATTAGTAAAAACAATCAAATGTTTTAAATTTTAATAGTTGAATAACGGTATTTGTATATTTGTTTAACAAGAGTGCCTTTTTCCAGTTTTTTGTATATGAAATTCCATATCGTCGCATCTACTGGACCAAATTTGGTGTAATCTATGTTCCAGTTTTGGAAACATGTCCACGTCTATACATTCGTTTAATACCAAGACTAGATGGAATCTGAACAGACTTTCCTCTAACTCCTATATACCTTAAACTTTCTATAACATGATGATTTTCGCACTTCTACCATATTGCAATCGATGTGCAATATTCATATGTTGAATTCATTAGAAGTTTTTTTTTAAGTTCCACCCAGAAGCTACAAAAATAAGCCGTAATAACTTTTTGTGTGAGTAATCGACTTACTTTTTTTATTTGCCAGTATATTATTTAATTTTTCTTTTAATGAATGTTTGAAATATCGAAAAGAGGATTTGGATACTGCAGCGGTACCATGCTTTGCAGTTCGGCGTTTTCGTCCAAAGGGAATTCGGAATTTTGGCTGCACTTCCCCGAGTAGATGGACCATTATGGGGATGGTAAACCCGTTGCCGATTCCCCACGAAGACCTTGCCATCGAGATGCGTATGTTCATGTTCAAGAAAGAGTCGCGGCTATTGCATAGTAAATTCAGGCAAATCCAAGAGTCTCGACTCGCTACTTATTAGCAGAATTAGCAGACGGCCTTTACATTGGATAATTCATGATGACTTAAACCCTGTTCCGTACAAAGTTAAAATAACAAGCCGGCTAAACCATCTAAATTGCTTATTCACTTGAAATTTTCCCACAAAATGATTTATATGTAGTGAATCAAATTTAAAAATAATCCACGAGACGGAACTTCAGAAAAAATCACCGTGTGGCGCGCAGTTTCATCAAGGTGTATTGTTGAGTCAAGCTTCTTAGAAGAAAACGGTGTAACAGTAACTGTCCATGAGCACAGTTATTTATTATCGAGAACAGCGTCAGAGACGTATCCCTTTCAATAGCGTTTGGTTTCAGCAAGTTGAAGCAGCTTCACACGTATTCAGCCCCGTTATTGTGGAGCTCCAAAGAAAATTTGAAAAAAACAAAATTTTCAAGAAACACCATTTTCGGCTGGCCCCCAGAGGTCACCTGACCTAACTGTACTCGACTTTTTTATCGGGTCATGTCAAGCAAGAGGCGTACAGATTCCAAAAATCTGACTTAATTGAAGCAGTCCATTCAATCGATAATAGAGGCATTCCCGACTTCAGCCCTTCAAGCCGCAATGAATAATTTTCTAATTAAGTGTCACATTTGTGCAGCTGAGCATGGAGGCCATTTATGGTCCATAATTCCTAAAAGTATTTAATTGTATAAACTAAAATAAAATTTTTTGTATATCAAAAAAATAATAATAAACATAATACATTGCTTTAAAAAAGTTATTACGGTTTGATTTTGTAGCATGATAGATTCTGTATATGGATATCAATGATCAGCGCCACGATCATGCTGAATCGATTCGGTCATGTCTGTCAGTATATAAGTGAACTAGTCCTTTAGTTTTTGAGATATCGATCTGAAATTTTGAACTTTTTTCCCAAAAAGCTGCTCATTTGTTGGAACCGCTGATATCCGATCACAGTAGCCATATAAAGTGAATGATCTAAATGAAGTCCTTGCATGGAAAACTTTTTTATTAGCTTAATTGATACGCGGAGAGTTAAAATCCACATATTTAGAAAAAATTAGTTTTCTCTTGGCGGACAAACTATGCCTTCGAAGGCAGGATATTATTATAAACTGTATAAATAAACAGCAAGAGATTAACAACGTGAAAAGGAATTTAGCAAAGACTAGATGATGCTTCTTACATTTACATCTGAAGGTTGACCAGAAGCTTTTACATAACATACAAATATATTAAAAAGAAATAATATTTACAAAGCCATATTTCAATTCTGCTTCTTACTTTTCAGCTGTGGAAGATATGATTATACGAAAATACAATATTTCACAAGAGGACTTCAAAGTGATGGAGACAGTTGTACTTAAGTCAGAACCACACAAAGCCGGTCAGCAATGGAAATTCACTGGTGCATTTTACTATGCAACAACAGTGTTGACGACTATCGGTTACGGTCATTCCACGCCAAGCACAATCGGTGGCAAACTATTCACAATGTGCTATGCCATTGTGGGGATACCATTGGGCCTTGTGATGTTCCAAAGTATTGGAGAAAGAGTGAATAGACTGAGCAGGTTAATTGCCTATTAAATACAAAATACTTGTATATTTACAAATAAAATACATATTTCTATGTGCCATGTATTTGCAAATTTAATTGTGAAATTTTTTCTTTTACATTTTGCTTTCGTTTTTTATTCACTACAGCTATGTTATACAAGCAGTGAGGAAGTCACTACGTTGTAAACGAACTGCAGCTTCTGAAGTAGATTTAATATGCGTTGTGACAACGTTGAGCTCTTTAATGATAGCTGGTGGTGCTGCGGCTTTTTCACGCTACGAAGGTTGGAGCTATTTCGATTCAGTATATTACTGCTTTATTACTTTAACTACAATAGGTGAGTGTTCCTGCCATAAATGTACTTTAGAAGTTTACGAAATAAAATTATCACTTTGCGTACATACATACATTTGTATAAATACATTTGGTTTCATTTAGGTTTTGGAGATATGGTAGCTTTACAAAAAGATAATGCACTCAACAACAAACCGCAATATGTTATGTTCGCATTGATATTCATATTGTTCGGTTTGGCAATTGTTGCCGCCTCGCTGAATCTGCTAGTATTGCGGTTTGTTACAATGAATACGGAGGATGAACGAAGGGATGAAGCACAAGCTATGCAGGTGCAGAATCATTTTATACTACTAATTTATTTTTATATACATTAGTAAATATGATTTTTCAATAATACTTTTACAATTTTTTTAATCACAACTTTGAAATCCTTTAATATTTGATTATTGATGTTGAATTCCTATAGAATTAGAAAAATCCTTTACATTCTTTTCAAACTTGGTTAAATTAAAAAAAAGGCAAGTCGAAATATATTAGGCCAAATGTGTGTGCCATAGGGTTTTTAATTGCTTTATTTATTTGAATATCTTGGGAAGAAAACTCGCTCATTTATTCTAAAAAAACAGCATAAATTAAAACTGCTAAAAGGTGGACGAATTAATTGAAAGATTTTTGTAAAGTGTTTCCATAAAATTCTTGCAATAGTAAATAATTATATTTTGAATAATTTAATAACAACTTAGTATTATATATATAGTATACGGCTTGTTCATCTATAAAAAGGCTTTTCGTTTCTAGTAAAAAGTTATTTTCGTATTTCAAAATGGTGCAAACTTGATAAAAGATTCATAGTCTCATAATAATGATAAATAGTTGCCATTGTCGCTTTTATCATTAAGTGAAATGAGATTTTTATATGAACAAATTAAACTTCTTTGACTTGATTCTTTGAAAAAAAAAAAAAACGCAAAATAGCTGGTGCTGGGTGACCGAACTATTTTGCCGGTGATTCGCACGGGCAAGTAAAGTTTTTTGACAGCAGAATAACTTTAAAAACGCTCTTCCAAGCCGTGGCTGGTAGAACCTTAACATATTATTATTATTTATTATTTTTTATGATGGCAAATCGCTCTAACATCCGAAAAATACATTAATTTGACATTTCTATACAACTGGTGGAATATCAATTTCTCTAATACATACCATATATCTTTTCTTTTAAGAGAGCTAATATTTTAGTTAAATAGGAGACTAAGTTCCTATGAAAAAATCCTTAACGGCTTATGCATGTAATTAAATTGAAATTGGGCCTTCATTTGCAATGCACGATTTACATAACTACTTTCATATACACGAACACTTACAACGAAAATTTACGCTATACCATAATTGAAAAGTTAACCAAAAATTAAAAAAAAAAATTTCTGAGAAAATTAAGTAGTTCAATTTTTAATAATAATGCATACAGTGGTTTTTGAAAAATATAAATTTGAGTTTTTCTTAAATTTGTTTTTTATATTTTTTAATTAGCAACTTTCAATTACCGCTTCATATATATCTCATCATTAATGCACAGGTTTGAATCATTATAACTTTTAAAATTTGGCACTTTATTGCATGGCAATGCTTCAATTCGTTTTTTCATGATCATATTAAAACATTTTTATTAAAAAAATCGTTAAAATTTGCACATTTTAAATTTTTTACTAAATAGTTTACAAACTATAATATCACAATGATAATATTTTTCCAATTTACTTTTATTTTTAATTTTTTCTTTTCAATGAAAACGATAATAAATGTAAAAAAATATGTTTTTTTTTAATTTTCTTTACAAAAATGTATATTGGACCACGTACAATACAATAGTTTATAACCAAGTCCAATATTTGGACAAAAGAGGTGATTGCGGTTTTCAATTAAAAATTAAAACAATTCTTTAATAATCAATAAACATAAAAATACAATATTTTCTAATACTTACTTAAGCCCGAGACTCAAATCTCTATACCTGCCTACAAGTGAAAACAGCTCAAAGAAGAAATAAGAAACTACTGCATATTATAGCCACATAAACATAATAACTACTTTCAAAAATACAATGAAAAACTATTTTATTTATTCTGGTTTAAAATATCAACACTATCATTGAACAAGGAATACAAAGAAACCCACTCAAAAAATATCAGTCACAAATTTGTTTAATTTTATATAAAATGTAGTATGTTTAAAAAAGTTGTGATATTTTAAAAAATACAAAAATTTTTTCTTAATTTATTTATTTTTTTTATTAATTAGTAAAAAAAGAAATCGTAACATTTTTATTTTTAATGAAATCCACTTTGTATTCCCTGTATCAAAGACTCAAACTGCTCGCATTTCAGAAACACATTTTTTTATTATTTCTCCTTAAATGCCAAACATACCTACAAATTTTGAATACTAATAAGCCCGGTTTCGTAAACATTTTTCAGGCTTTACAAGTTGCTGTTAAATTAGAAGGTGACGTCATTACAGCAAATGGCTCCATTTTAAGTGGATATGAAGGTCATGAAGTTCAGTCAAACAGTAGTGGCTCAACTACATCCATGTGTTCATGTAGCTGTGCACGTTTTAGTGCAAATCGTCATAAAACGTGAGTACATTCGTATTGCATTTGTTTATCATTATCGCATTTTAATTTATATATCCTTTATAATTTATATAAACATATATGAAAGGCATCAATACAAAGCTCGCCGTTCACCCTCGCATATACGTCATTTATTGCCGGAAGTTGTACCAATGCAGGACTTAAGCTACGATACACACAGCCTCAATGCCGACGGGCTCGATATCGTGGATACATCATCAGTCTCGCCTTCGAAACCACACAGACAATTACTCAAACGCAATGTGTCGCTACTATCTTTTCGTATTTAAAATACAATTACTATTAATGAAAATAATTTAAGTATTATAGGTATTAATTAGTAGGTATGCTTAAATACAATAATTTTTTAATCGCCGGTAATTAAAGCTTTTCACAATGCTTTGTTGTCTGCTACGTACAGTGGTATACATATTTAAACATTTATAAATAGTTGTTGGGTCGCTACAATCAATCTAATCAATCTAAGGGTACCTGCACCGTGGACAGTCAAAGCCGAGCCGAAAGCAAATCTAACGAAAGGGGGAAATCAGCTTAAAAACCGTGTGTGTGAATTTTCACGAAATTGCATAGTCACCGCAGAGTGCACGTTGACCAAAGACGCAGTCGAAACTGATCAACTCGAGAAACTAGTTTTGAAATGTTATTCGGCGCCGACTTGCGTGTTGCATAGTTCATTTGTATATCGGTATGGTAATCTCACATTTTGCTTACAAAAAATTACAATGAATGTGGTAGTAAGATAATTAGTATTTTCAAAAGAAAACTTTTGACGATAATAGCTTAATACATCAGAATTTATTAAATACCTGCAATTAATATTTTAAAGGCCAAATTTATTACGATAATTCTATCGCTATTAATATTTTCAAAGACAAATTTATGATGGGAATCTATGCAATAAATACCCGTTTTATACGCCCTATTTTGTTTAGCTTTTTCTCACAAATCATCCATTAATTAATTGTATATCTTCCCTTAAATAAAATGATATTTGAACTAAATTCTGCCTTAAAATAAACTGTTATGAACAAGCAACAGAATAATAATAGCAAATTATACGTAAAATTCAGCGCTGAATATGGCATCCACTGTGCGTTATCTAAAATTAATAAGCGCTGATCGAAATCAGTTTTCCGCTCGATTGATTTGAGCGTCCACTTTGCAGGCACTCTAATGCAGATTATATTATGCACTTTTCTGCGCTTCATTTGCGAATATGTATGTATGTATGTAAATATTAAAGAAAAATCTTAAAGAAAATACTTATAATTAGTTAGGTAGGTGTAAAGCTTAGCGAAAGCCTATCAATCAATAGATTTCCTTAATATTAGCAACTCATATAATAAGAACTTTTGCTTCCCTTAATGGTTTAAGGTATTTTTAACTTTTTATTTCAGACTTTTGTTATTAACATTTTTGAAAGTGAGTAGTATTGCTAAGTAATTAAACATTTAACTTTTTCTAAGTACATACATATGCATTTTCGCAGAATATTAAGTCTTTGGTATTTTTCAATATACTTTAATTTACAAAAATATGAGAACACGATGCATACTATCTAATTAGTAAAACGCGCTCATTTGTATCTATTTATTTGAACAGACGCAACATTAATTTCAATGAATTGATTAACAAAAGGTCCTTATTAGGAAATCACTCGACAACCATAAATTTATATTTGTTACAAAAGAACGTGCATACTATGAGGGGCTCCAAAAATGCTTAATATATTAATATTATAATAATATTATGAATTATATTAATGCTCAGCCAGATACAAATATTGCTCTAAAAAAGTTTACAGAGAGGATTGATCACTTATAAGATCAACGTATCGACACTTTTTAATCCAAAAATATGTAATTTTTTTCTTAGCATGAACATTTAAGAGTGACCAATGTTAATTTTAATTCCCACAACAGGCGCTTCTAAGTTACTAAAACTGTTTAGATCCCTAAGTAGTAATACCTTTTGTACGAAAGTAAAGCTTTAACAGATAAAGACAAAATGTATATAAAAATTCCAAATGCTGAGATTACATTTTTTAATAAATATGAAAAACCATTCAGATAAGCCCATAAATGATTTGATAAGTTTTGTATGCACCACATAAATAGTTCTATACGCAAAACACAAATTTCTTTCCCTAATGCAATATAAAAAACTATTTTATCAGTCAACTTTTAAATCTGTCTTTTAAATGTTATTCTGAGAAATAGAAAATATTGAAACAGTTCCATCACTGCCAAATTCATAAATTAATACCAAAATCAAATCCGTAGCAAGATTACTCTATGTCAAAGAGTACAAATTTTAAACTGGCACATAAAAACATACATAACCACAAGGAAATATGAATGCAATGCTTTAGCCATTAAAACTTACGTATTCAAAATTAAGAAATTTTAGTTTTTTTAAATATTTTTAATTATGTCTTATAGGTTAAAAAGTTTGAACAGAATAGTACAATAATTTAACTATTATAATGTTTACTATTTTATGTTTTTTAATGTTAAATAAAAACTTTAATAAACTCTGGATTTAATTTATATGTTCGCAAAGCTCATGCGAATACCATTTAGATAGATGCAAAAGATGGGAGTAAAGATCATTCATTCACACCTGCAAACTCATATCATTTAAAAAATGTTACCTTCGAAATACCTTATACATACATACAGAGATATTTATGCATATATAACTGTGTTGCAACTAAATATACATAGATTATTAAAATATGTATATATATATATATATATATATATATAGGTACCAACACAATATGTGCATAAAACCAATTTATTAAAAATTTAATATCATCGACTCTTTTTCAAGACTCATCAGTTATCGAATTTATGGTATATAATAAATATTTAATAAACAACAATTATAAATGTCGAATTGGATATTAGGAATTAGGCGCATTAAACTACGGGTGCAAATGAAATGGTGATGTGATCTAAATAAGTTTAAATATTCCACAGTTATAACTTAGTAGCTTTTGGTAATTTCGGTTGACAATACAATAAATGAAAATATGAAGTGTACATATGGAAAACGTGTTTATACATACATACATATATTAGTTTATGAAATGTACAATCAACATTTTATTTTAATTATAATTAAGCACCTATGAATTTGTACCACAAATATGTATACTCAGCACGTTACCATTTCATTTGAAATATTTGAATCGTTTTCTTATATGACCATTGTATTGTATATTCAAAAATTCATAATTATATGTATGTAATACAAGGCCAAGTTTAGATATAAGCCTCGCCCATTTTACGATTTCTTTTGAAAATTTTAGCATTAGGAATTATTTATATTATAATAGTTTTTATACTTACGTAGATTGGATCTTAAAAAAATATTCTAAGTAGATATGTACGTACCTATGAAAGTAGGTGTTTGCCACAACAGTTCAGTTGTTTACCATGTTAATGTAAGTGCATAAATGCATACAGCATTAAAGAGCGGTACTCGCAAATGAAGAGGCATTTTTTTCTCTTTTCTTATAAAAAAAAGTAATAAAAATCCATTGAGAGACTTTGTAATATAGAGAACACTGGAAAATACAAATAAATTTACATTTATGAAAAAGAAAAAAATGGTTTAGTTGTCTCATTCACAATTTAAAGCAGATTAATAGAATGTTTCTAAAGTAAAAGAGTTAATTGGGGYGGATTTTTTTTTWAATTGTTATGTAGGAATTAACGGGSTGAGGTTATCACCAACGACAGGCAGATTTAGGAAACGGAACCGATTTTTATCACACCAAGGACTGTCAACTCGACACCATTCCTCGAAATTACTTCAGGAATGTTTTCTGCCGTTATAGCAACAAAGGCTTACATTCTAAACTTCAGATTACAATCATCTGAAGATACTTTCCTGTTTCTCCATTTCTTATTATAAATATCAGTTGTACGCAAATGTCAGCCTGTCCTTCAACAAATAGGCTTAAGTAATCATTAATTACACTGTGGAACATTTTTGGGATTAYTGTCTGGTGGGTAAATAAAAATGAATAAATAAAATAAAAATAAAAAATTATAAAAATGTTTACTTTATTTTTTTAGTAGTTTATGGCCAGAAGTCTGGAGTTATTGGGGAAAATTTATATAAAAAAAGGCGATAAATTACACTTTTTTGCATAAAAACAAATAGAAATTGTAATTCTTAATTTTTCTAAATTTGTTTCGGCAAAATCCGACAAGTGGTGCGAACCACTTTATGTGAGTTATGTTAAACTAGGTTTTTGCCAAAATGTTACAACTAAGCGAAAAAACAACAAGATAAGGAAAAAATTTAAGAGGTCATAAAAAAAAACTGATACATACAAACGTCAAACCCTTTGAGGGTTTTACTGTACTGACCTAGTACCATCACCCTGACTTGGAATTTCTCACCCCCCAGATTAGCTGTTGTACTGTGTTATGTATGCATACAGATTGTAAAATTATGGTGATATGGGTTTATATGGTTTTCAAGCCATCAACACCTTGGAATATTAAAAAACTGCTAAATTAAAAATTTAATCAAATGTCGAATAATAAATATATATTTGAATGGATGTAACCTAAGAACTGGGCGCGTTAATATTAGCTGTTATATCCGGCAAGCCGAATCAGCATGGGCCAACTCAGTTGCTTGCGACGTAGGCAAGCCTTGGATTACTGCTGCTGACCGCAGTGGTTGGGCAACAAACTCATGTGTTGCAATCTAAACAAAGTGCAAGCCAGGCATGGACATATTGCCTCTTCAAAATGCTCAAGGAAATGAAAACCGATCTGTCAAATAACCAAATTGCTAGCAACGAATGGCATAAAATATTATTATTATTAAATTGCTAAACACATTAGCAATAAATTGCTAAACACAGTGCTAGCATTCCAGTACTTTAGCCACTTTATGTGCTGAACACAATGCTCGCGACAGACTGCAGCAGCACGACCGTGAACTGAAAATGGCGTTGTGGACCATCTACGTGAATATTTGTGAGAAGACAGCAACATAACAATGGCCAGCATGTACACAAGACAACACAGCTGTCCATTTTTCATGTACACAATTTCGTTGTGGCCTTGCACTTCAATGAAATTTTAATATATTTTTCAAAGTGAAATTAAAAAAAAAAAAACAAGTAAATAGTTAAATTTATTTCTTTTAAATTATCAATTGTTATTATAAATGATGTAACAGAGCTATTTTATGCTTTTATTTGTAAAATAACGTCAGGTTTGCTAGAGCTTTGAATAATTTTACATATTAGTGCCATCACCACTCTTCAACTCTCTACTGTCAACTCTCATGTCTTCCTACTGTCGTTGGCAAATATAAGAAAATATTGAAGTTAGCGAGAACGACAACTGTCGGCCTGCAATCGTGTAGCTGTCAAAATAATTCTGTCCTTAAGAACGTGTGTATTTTAATATTTTACAGATGTCGTTTGCAGTCTGTCACGAGCATTGTGTTCAGCACATTGCTCACAAAAATACAAACCGTGCCACCCGAACACGAGAAGCACGGTTCTTTCGCCTACAAAAACCCTCTTGGCTGACAAAAGAGTTCGTGTGTGAACTGACATTATTTAACAAGCAAATTTTGTTTAAAACAAGAATGATTTGCGTTTAATATATTATTTATTCTATAATTTATGCTATATAAATATGAAAGTTAAAAATAATTGGTTTCGAAAACTAAATACAAACAATTAAATATTGCCTTATGTTGACGTAAGTTCGAAATGCAACCCTTCGTTAATTAACCACAGCTAACATTGTAACGTGCAGCAAAGATGCTCATTTGTGTCTTTGCGAACGCCGTTAAGCGTAGAGCGGCATAATTTCTGTCCAGGTGTTTTTGAAATTAAAATATTGTTTGGTAAGTGAATATTTTGTATATCAATTCTTTAAGTAGGATATAATTTTGTTTTTTATAGGAAGTTAAAAGCCAAAATTAGAGCACGCTAAATGAATGATTAGAGACGAAAACAACCGCAGTGACCTAGAGATAGTGTAAATTGAGACGCAGATTAAAGGACGAAAATTGCACGCATTATTATTAAAAATGGCGCCAACAAAGAATACCCGTGCAGTTTCTAAACAAGCTGTAACGACAACTATGAACTCATTGTTACCTCAGCCACGGAAAACACTTAATAGGCGAGGCACAATCAATGTCCAGGATCAAAATGTTGATGTGATCCAGACGCGCGGCAAACGTAAAGCCGAACATAGTCCGGCTAAAAACGAAAAAGTTAAGCGATCAGCGCTTGGTAATCTCACAAACAACGTAAAATTAACAACAATGACGACAAGTAAATTGCATACTGAAGAAAATTTGAAACCAAACCAAAATTTGACAAAGAGAAAGGAAATGCATATTACTGGGACACATGCGCAAGTGCTTAAAGAAACGCAAAACATTATCGGAAATGTGGACTTGTGTGAACGTAATATTTCGCAAAAGAAAATGGCAACCAGGGCGAGTACYCGAAATGCTACCATTTCCAAATCAACGATTGCCAAATTGGTGGTAGATAATTATGCAAAGSC